AAAAAAAAAAAAAAAGTGACTATATTTCATCTTTGCATTTGGCAGACACTCTTTTTATAAGGCTTGTATGCAAAGTAATACCACACGTTCTCATCGACAATGAGAAGAGAAAAATCTCACGGTTTTCTTGGGTTTTATTTCGACGCGAAACAGATTTCGGAGAGTCCATGAGGCTGCAATCAGGATCCGAGACGTTCAAGGGCACGCCCCCATCCGAACTACCTCCTGTCAAGAAGAAGCAAAAACGAAAGAAATCCAAATCGAACTCCTCTCCAAAGTCTAATTCGGGCTCCTCTTCAAGGTCGTCTAGAGCAGCCGCAGCCAAGTCCAAGGCCAAATTGGTCGAGAGCAGCAATGCAAAGCCAACAAACATTGAGGTTGCATGAGAACGACACGAATCGAACTTGTCGCCATTTGTGGGGGAAAAAAAAGTACGATTAGTGGGTCGTGTTTTCTTTCTAGGGAATTCGCGTAGTTTAGCTTCGACTATTTAGAGTGGAAAATTTGAAGTGGGGGCTAGAAGACATCTAAAAGGCGAAAACGAAGGTCCTGTGACACTTTCCATCTTTGTAGTTAAATTTGCATTTTATGATTACAGCTTAGAGGAGATGAAACAGCAACAATTAGACTTGAAACAAGTTTAATTTGAAGGTATATATATATATACTTTTAAATATCTTGGCACAAGTTAAAAGGTGATTATGAGATTAGAAGAAATTGTGGAGCAGCTAACTTGCTCAGCTATTTGAGGACCAAAATTGTACCACCTTGGAACTTATATAGGACCTCATACGTACCTAAGTACAATCCCTTATACCAATTAGTCGCGTGACATAATCAATTTGTTATTAAGCGAATGTACGTACTCCAAAGCACGTTCAACCATTTTTTGTTTTCTAAACTTGATAATTAATCAGAAAAAAAAAATAAAATAAACAAAATGGTTGTAGTGTGTTTTTTGTGTTTGGTGTGGTTCGGTTCTGTGTTGTTATGTGTTTCTCGTTTTTTTTCGTGTTTTTATGTTTGTGATATTCTTCCGTAGGAGAGTTTTTTATTCTCCTGTTGTGGAGTTTTTGAGTTTAGCTTTGCGTTTTGTTTGTGGGTGTAATGTGCTCTAGTTTAGTTCTAGGCGATTTTCACTGGTGCCCTAATAGACGCTTCTCGGGAGTCTCCTTGCTGGGAAGGTGCGCCAGTCTTGCGGCGCTGGTCGGCATCGGAGCGGCTCCGGGCAGGCAGTACTATTGGCGAAGTAGCGGGTGCCATGGCCACCTAGTTCTCTTCCGTATGGTTGCTATGGTGGCGAGTGTTGGGTGGCTGCTGGCTCGTGGGTGGTGCGTGGGGTCTAAGCCGGCAGTGGTTTTCAGCCTGCAGCTTGAGGGCGGTGCACCCCGATCGACACCCAGAAAGCAAACAAAAGAGACCCAACCCATAACCCAAACACATGGGTCGAGAAATCCCTCCTACGACTGATTGGACCCAGGCGGACTGACCCAAACCTCCCCTAAAAGACCACCTGGACTGCACCAAGAGACCGAAACCAACGCCCTTTCCGCTACATCGACCGTCTGCCATAGTCCTACAACCACAACCCGAAAGAAACGAAAATGGGAGCTCGAGCCTTGACCTCAAGCCGACAACTGCACACCCGACCTGCCTAGGCAGGAGAACCGAGCCAACAACCTCCCCCACCACCTTAGATTTTGTGTTTTGTGATGTGTGTTTTTTAGTCTTTGTTGTGTGTTCTTGTTGGGGTGAGTATTCTTCCGTGTGAGAGTTGTTCTATTCTCCTGTCTGGAGTTTTGAATCATGTGTTTGCTAGGTTTAGTGTCGGATCTAGGCAATCTCGAGTCTGTCCTCCCACTAAATTCGACTTTATAGTTGTTATAGTCAGTTGTTTGGCTATCTCAAGGAATATATATGTTTGTTTTATTTATAAAAGTTTAAAAAAAAAAAAATTAATCAGAAATTTTAGATTTATATAAAAACTAATAAAAAATAAAAACACAAAGCAAAAAAAAAAAAA